GTGCTGTCCTAGTTGCCTGCATGGCATCCAACCAGTGGGTTACCAAACATTGCTTTGCAAGCTCCTCTCTGTGTCCAGACACTCTTTTGGGTTCCTTGCATCCAATCGTGGCACGAGGATTCTCTTTGCTGCCAGAGTGGGGAATATTTGGGGACTAGCTTTTACTCTAGCTGTTTTTCTTCTGTAGCCCACAGGGATAGTAGTTGGCAGCTTCTTCATGGAAGCACAGTTCAGTCTGGCACAGGTCAGAATCCCTGACTCTGCTGGTTTGCAGTGAGAAGGATCCCTGGTGCACGTGTGTCTAGAGACTGGCAGGATTCATCCCACTTTCTGGAAATTCCTACTGCAGCTGCTTTCCAGCACTTCTCCAGACATTGACTCGTGCCCCACCTGCAATGATCGTAAATAACAGCGTAGCGTTACCCTTCTTATACTGTGAGCTGACACAATCATTTTGTCAACCCATATGGGTAGAGTTTGTTTCTGTGGCATCCACTCCCTGCTTAGGGATCTTTTCGCACAGCGTCTAAATCTTGGAAATCCTCCTCCTGGGATATCAGAGTTGTGTGCTCCATGAGATGAGCGCACTGTCAGGTACCAATTAGAGACTGCATACATAAGAGGTCAGACTGGATATATTTGGCATCTCAAAACTTAGTTAATGCATGTAGTCTTAATGTTGCTTGAAAGTAGAAAACTGAAGTATATCGGTTGGGCATTTCCCCCAAGCTTTTCATATAAGTGATTAAAAACACCATGGGGAGGGAACAGTGTGGGGATGAAGGTGGCAAATTCCAATTTACTTTAGTTTAAGCAGCTGTGCTCATGGGTGGGTGCTTCTGCTGAATGTCAAGAGTGCAGTCCAGGGGGAAAACTGTGATATGATAAAGAACAGAAAATGCCATGGGTACAGAGGCAGATGTGAATGGAGGAGGAAATTAGATATAGGGAGTGAGAAGAAGTAGAGAGCCATTCGTGTTTTGATATAGAAGTTAAACTGAATGAAGTTGAGAGGACTTTCCTTCCAGGTAGCTTGTCCTATAAGGAGTCATGGTTTAATCTGAAACCTGGGAAGAAAAAAAATTAAAAAAAAATCACACAATGGCAGTGGCAACTTCCCAGTAGCAGTTCAAAAATTGCAAGTATGAGCGAAAACACTTAAATGGAAAACTCTTGAAAAGGATGGCTTGTGACTTCTAATGGGGTTTCCATTGTGGACTACAGCTGACAGGGTACTGTAGTTCTTGAAATAACAACACAGACTAGATCTGATCCTTCTGCATGAAATGATTTGGGCGCTTTTGCAAGCGAAAGAGCAGGAACGTGGCCTACTCTGGGAAACATAAAACAGAGGGACAGCAGTGTTTTAATTCTTCCAATGCTTTTTTCTTTTAATCCTCCATTCCTGAATTCATATGACTGCGTGAGGCTATCAAATTTCATATGAGTAAGGGGGACTAAATTTATAGCCCTGGTGTTTGCAGTGGAAATCTTGAACAACATGAACTCTGAAGGTTCAAACAGAAAGCAAAAAGTCCCAGTTTTATCATTAAACTTGTATTTTAAAATCCTTGGAGTTGTCCATAATGCGAAAGTTGTAATGCAAGTGTTACACAGAAAAATGACAAGAAATTGTGATTTTATTTCCGTTCTATATACCTGATATGGGCCAGACTTACAAAAGGGTAAAGCACTGTATCATTTAAGTTAAGCTCATAACCAGACTTCCTTTATAAGCTATGTTTCCAATTCCCTCTTCCCTCGTACTTAACTGCCTCCACACTACTGGATTTTGTTCTAGCAGTTTCTGAGCTGGTATTTCCATGTCTGCTCTCAGACTTGGGGTCAATATGAAGGGAAAATTCCCTTATGTCAATATGCCTGTGGAGATATCAGATCTAATGGAAGTATTTCAAGCACATAGGTCAATATAAGGCTTGTTTCTTTCTTAAAATGCTTTTTCCTGAAACACAAGAAATAAAGCTTAATTTTGCATTGGGTTTTCTATTAAAATTTGGTGGTAGCATAAATGAAAATTAGTCCTCCCTTGGATTTTGCAGCATAAAATATGTGGCTTTCGTCTTCAAAGCCACAACAGACTGTTCTGAATGTTCTTTCTTTTGTGGCCTGAAAGAATTAATAAAATATGCACGTGCTTCATTTCTAATATGTGTTTTAACTTAATCTCATAACAAGAAGATTGGTGGAAGAGAAGCAGGCACTGTGTTGGAGTGATGAGAACAAATCTCTAGATTTTTCTTTTTAAGTGCTAAATGTTTGGATTTATGTCTTTTCTTTCACATTATTTCCTTTTGTCCTAATTTACTTGTACTTATGTCCATGTTTTCTTCCCTAGAGGGAACTGTGAAGAAAGGATTCAGAGTTCTCTCTAATTCTAGTGTATTGCTGTTATAATGATTAATGTGCCTCAGCAGAAAAATATCTCAAGACAGTTGTGTCTGAAACTGGGCTTTGCTGTTTGTTTGGGTTTTTTAATTTCAGAGGCCCTTTACTCAGTTTTGTGCATTTGTTGGTGGGTCAGTAAGTCTGAGCCATCTCAGATCAATTATGAAAATGGAGACAATTTCTAGACATGAAGGAGCATATGCAGTTATGAGAAACAATTTTATTAACTTAGGAAAGGCCAGTGAAATCGAGGAAGGAGGAGTGACCAACCTAATCTATTTTCTCTGCTCAGAAGTAAAGCCTTTAAACTGACTCCAGCTCATGCAGTATTAAAAGTGTGCTTGGCTAAAGGTCTTCAGTTTGAAATCTATCAGAATTTCTTTCATTTCTTTTTCGTGAGATACTGTCCTTTCTTTAGTGCTCTTATAACCCTTTTTTTCCCCCAGAGTGAAGCTGTGACTCTTCTACCAAGGAAGCCTTAGTTAGCAGTTTTTCAAACCAATAATAGTAGAGGGATAGACTGAATTCAGAACAGTGAAGAAACACTTAGCAGACATAGTTTACGAATTAACTGACCACAGTAATGAGATGCATTAAGGGAGGTCCTTCACTTTTGCTATTTGAGATGGCCAGCTGGGAGACTTTGTTGCTTCCCCAGCAGTGGCCTTCTTGCTGTGTGGTGCAGCCTGTTTCCTTGCCTGTCCAGTCTCGTGCTTATTGTGCCTTTTATCTGCGTGCTGCTGGGGGTCTGGTTTGATGTTCAACAGTAAAACATCTAGTAACTTCATTGTTCGTGTATCTGCTCAGCCGATTCTTTAATTGGCTAAGTAAAGTGACTTGATAGATTGCCTTGCACTGCAGACAGATAATTATGTATTTCAGTGACTAGTGAGTTTTATTGTTGTGATTTGTTTTCATCCCAGTGAGGCACTGCAGTTACTGGGGAGTGATGCGAAGCTTGTTGTGGCTGACACATGTTCAACAGTTTGCTTCCAGAAATCACGTAACACTTTGTTTTTCTTGTGGAATAATTGTTGTTGAGGCATATGTAAGGAGGAGTCAATCTAACTTGACTTTTAGCTTCCCGTCATATGAATTAGTAGCAGGGCAGTGGAAGCTGGAACAGGAAAGGCTGAAGGTTAACTAACAAACAGCAGTAACTAAGCCAATTCCCTGCTTCCATCTGTGACAAACTCCTCCGGTTCCTATATATCCTTCCTGATATATCCAAGTCATAGATGAAGTTGTCTGTCATGGGAGACTGCTGGTGAGGGGAAGAGGGCAGTGTTAAAACGCTGCAATAGGAGCGCGCTTAAGCACCTTCTACACTTGGTAGGGGACAGCTTTCTCATGGTCCATCCAGACTTGTTATTTTCCATTGTCTGAAATTCCCCTGGGTTTCAGGTTGGCTTTTGATGGATGTTAACCACTTGGACTGAGATCTCTGTGGTTGCTAGTCACCGTGGTATGGAGTACAGGTGTCCATCTGAGCCCTGTAGGCCAGAGTGTCAGAGCAGCACAAACTTCCTTGTGGGTAATGGCAGAAATATTTTTTTTTTTTCTAGAGCTCACTGAATGGCACTCTGTCCTAAGGTTCAGTCAGGCTTTCCCTGCCCCAGTTTGTCCACATCCAGCAGATTTGTCATCCATACTACCATATGGACTGTTATTGGCCTCAGCACTAGTTTCTGTTTTCTTCTGTTTTACTTCTGAATCTAGACTCCTGTGGGCTCAGAAGCCTTCTGGGAGCCACCTTTGTTATATTTCTTTTTAAAGCTTTCTTGGAGCACAGACAAAGGATTCAGGTGTAGGGGAGGTGGAAAGGAAGTGTGGGAGCAGTATGCTTACCAACTCTAACTATGGAATCAGTGAGACTTGAAGTACACGGTCTTTAGTATGGCTTTGTTCTTTTCTTTTTTTTTGTCTTCTCAGAACGGAACCAAAAATCTTCTGTCTACTTGCTCTTGCAGCTGTATAGGACAGGAAGCTTATTTAAGGAGAGAAACAGAAAAGTCTTTATTGCCTGTGGAAGGAGAAGCAGGATTTATATGCTTTGAAAAGGTATGTATTAGAAGATTTACTTGGTAAAAAGTCCAATAGTCACCAATACTCATTTGCATTAAGGTTCTTTCTCTCAAGAGCTGTCCCTTCCTGTCATTCCCTACAGAAACTTCCCCGAGCTTTCTGTTTTCAAGGGAAAAGCTAGCCTGTCCTTGTTCCCAAGATTCAGCCTTTGAAAATAATGTCCCCTTAATCATAAGACTGTGTATCTAAAGAAACAATTCATTTAGCTGTGCAACAGAAATTACAGTTGTTTTCAACCTAACTGTAAAGCAAGTTCTGTCTTTTCATCAGCATTCAATGGCAACAAACTTGATTAGGCCCTTTAATCCATAATGCAGGTACTACAAAACAGCAAATACACCGAGAGTATACAATACAGGCTGAGTAGCAAATACAGAAGTAAATATTATAATGTAGCTAGTCCCACTGTTTTTTTTCTTCTTTTGATTCATGTATTTTCATGTTCACAGATCTGTAGTTTTCTGCCACTTAATACTAACAGGAAAACAAAAAAAAAAACAAAAAAAAAGCAACTCATCTGCTTGAGGACATTCTGTTGTAATGTATCCAGTGGCTGTTCCTGCACCTGGAGGTGAAGGAAATAATGGACAACATGGGAAACTTATTTTTTTCCTTTTTGTTTTTGGAGCTGTGTTGCTCTGCGCTGGATTCCTGCTTTCAGTCTTTATTCTCCAGTCGTGCCCATCTGGAACCTTCAGTGACTGTAACGAGGTCCTTAAGGCTGCTGGGCCTGTGCTGGCTGTGACTGGACTGGTTTGTGTTTTACTGGCACGATCAAGGGCCAGGCTGTATATAAGACAAAGACAATTGCAAAATGAGCAGGTGTACAGCCTTGTTTTTTGTCGTGGGAGCTGTCAGTTTGCCCAGTTTCTCATATTTGGATTCCTGTTTTTAACTAGTGGAATGCTAATTAGCATCCTGGGCATTTGGGTTCCTGGCTGCAGCCCCAGCTGGCACAGCATACAGCTCAACCACACCGGCAGTTCTGATGTGGACCTCCAGGGCTGTGGATTCCTGTCACTTCAAATCATGGGACCTTTGATTGTGCTCACTGGGTTGTGTTTCTTCGTGATAGCTCATGTTAAAAAGAAACAAAACTTAAATCTCAACCAAGAATCTTGCGAAAGTGAAGAACATCCTCAGAGCCCTGAATCTTTTCAGGTTACAGTAGGTGGGTAAATAATGTGTGAACTTTACATTTGAGACTTAGTAGGGCTTTTTTCCCAGTAGTGATTTACCTCTGAATATTACTCATTTGAGCTCTAAGCATGTAAATTCTGGCATGTCAAACCAGCCAAAACAGAAAAATGTTGCTTTGTCTCATATGTTTTCTGTATGGTCAGTTCAGTTACCTTTCTCCCAAAGACAAAACCTCTCCTTTGGCATAAGAAGAAAGGTCTGACTGTCTGTGCAAAAGAAGCCATGTAATCTGACACAAATGAGTCCAATCCCACTTCCTTTCCCCAAGGGTGTAGCTGACACTGCAAATCACAGATCTAGTGACTTCTGTGACTGTATTTAAGGTCTATCTGAGCTTTGAGCTCTGATCCCTTAAACAGGAGAATCTGACTCATAAGCAGTGTATTGTATTTTTTTAATCATGGCCACATCTTCCATTAGTCAGAGATGTAATTGCAAGATGCTTCTGTTAATTGCACAGTATTTGAGTAAATACAGTATGTTAGCAGGGAATGCTCCCCTGCATATAGCACTGCTTTTAATACCCCATGAATACATTCTACTCATAGATTATTTGGATAACTTTCTAGCTCTCAGAAAGGATTAATGAGTCAATCATAGTATTGCTTGACTGTCATCTGACTGACTGGACTTGAAATCCATTATGCAAAACTTTTTTCCTTCTTCCTGTCAAACCAATGTACAGACCTATAACCTGGTGACCCTCAGGAAACGTGAGGGTTTAAAGTCAGTTTTCCAGCGACCAGGATAAATCAAAAGCTTGTAGAAAGGAATTCAGATTGTCTTTAAAGGTGAGAAAGCAAAATTAGTGGATTCCTTTTATACTTCCATCAGGAAAAGTAAAACTGAAAGGCTGAAGGCTGAGGTCTGGTTGGCATAATGACATTCTGGAACAGTGGTGACTCAGCTAGAAAACACCCCCCCCACCTCACTCAACATTTTTGATGCTCCCTGACCTGTCCCTGCACACAACTTACAAAGGAAAAAAGGTGCCAGGCAGCTGTGAATGTTTATATAAATTATGCAAGCTTAGTGACCGATATGAACTTTCTGTTTTAAAAAAAAAAATTTTTTTAAACTCCTCAATTACAAAGTTGAAATTGGCAGATATGCTGCACAGTACACTTAATAGTGAATTATGTATCAGTAGTGTCCTAGTACTAATGTTGTTAGTGTGCCTTTAGCTACAAGAATTTAGTAGGGAAACTGTCAAGGCACATCGTCAGTCATCAGAACCATTAATGACTTGAATACTTTTGTTATAACACTGCAATAGATGTGGAAAAACTTGAACCGCCCTATTTTAGGTACGTGAGTAAAACTAAATACGTGCCTACCCTTAAAGTGAGCCAACAGTAACTGTGTGCTTTGCACACACCCTGTGTGCTGTGTCTGAAGACAGCCAACAGTGAAGAGGTTTGTGTCTCTTGGCTAGATGGAACAGTCCCCCTCCCCCAGCTGTATTTTCTAAATGAAGTCTTCCATTTATGAATATGCTGCATCTTTATTTTGGGATAATTTTGGTTTTGAACGTACCTCCAATGTACTTTAACAGCCCAGAATATAACAGTTCTGTATGTGGAATCATTGCACTTTATTTTAAAAGGTAGACAAGTACAAATACTGTAATTAGAAAGACAGGAAATATTCTAGGATACAGTTAGAATAAACAGTGGTGCTCAGTTTTTCAAAGGTGATAATTGGTGGGTTTCTTTCCTAGGTGATGCTGTAATGGTATTCCCACCTCCACCACCTCCTTATTTTGCTGACCCTCTGTCACCAACCATGACACATTGTCTTATGTCAAGTGGTTTGCCTACAAGTGAAAATCCTCCACCATACCACTCTATCTTCAGCGATGGGTAAGACTGTTTTCTTCTGTCTTTGGAAATCTGAGGTGTTTCTCAAAATATCCAAGACCATGTTCTTAAATAATCACTGTGAATTAACTCTCCACTAGGCACTACAAGGTTTTCTAGTGCATCAGTCGACTTCAGATAACTTACTTGAAATGGCATTAAAATATCCTAGTGTAAAAGGGGAATCACAAACCACAGAGTGTCCTTCATGAGGGTTAAATTCTTACCAGTTTATTACGACTGAAAAGAACTTTTGAAGTGAAAACAAAGTCTTAAATCAGTGGCCTTATTTAAATATACTTAGATTAGATTTCTTCCACAGATTGTCCAAGAGAAGGTGCCCTGACAGCAGTGCCCCAGTGGCATGATATCCACACTGCCAGATTTTAGGAAGTCTCTGTAGACCCAGGGCAGCGGGCCCTTCATGACACTTATCCACAGGCCCTGTGACCCTGGGAATGCTACTTTAGTGTGTTCTGTTCTCCCTGTGACCCTTATCTCACTGCCTTGAGGAAGTAAGACCTGCTGTGCTGGTCTACCTTGTTCCTGCTGTGGCAGTGTGTCGAGATAAATGGATACCTTGATATTGCAGGAGAAGAGCAGGAGGCTCCAGGGAGCTTAAAAGGGAGGTTACAATGCCAACTTCATCTCAAGATGTTGTACCTTACCCATGCAGCCACTCTTCCATACGCTGAGTACAGCTGATTTGTTAGATGCTGCCACCACCAAGCTCAGGGAGCAAGAGCTGCCAACAGACTGAAGAGTTGTCTGCACCACAAGAACTTGTAGGGTTATTTATCCCCTGTGGGTTACCACCAGTGGGCTGCTAACCTGAGGGTGAAAGGTCACTGCAAGGGCCACATGCTAGGAGCCAGAACTAGATCTGTCCAGGAGAGCTGAATGCCACATGCCAAGAGCCCCCAGCCTATTTTCAGGCCCTTAATGATCCAGAATTGACTTGGCTTTACCTTTTGGAAGGTCCTACGTCAGCTTGTTTTTGATCTGTGGGTCAGTAGGTGGTGTGGGACTTTTTCACTGGATGACTTGACTTTACAAGTCTGTACCTGCAGCATCCCAAGCACCATCACTGCAGCAAGAGTCCATGCCTGCTTGGCTGTGTCCAATCATAGTAGTTGTTGGGCCATTGCTTTAATAGCTTTCCACTATACTCCAGACTTCTCCACTCATATGAGGCAGTGCGTTCCATGATCAGCTGGACCAGCTGCGTGCCTGATGTTAGTCCTTTTTCGAAACTCTAATGCTAACCTTCCCTTTGAAGCAAGCAAGCATGAGCCTTCTTCCTGCCCAAGACCTAAATGCCACAGAAGGAGGATACTTGTGTTACCAGTGGTACTTATTCTTGTTACCATGCTGTGTGCAGCCATGTCTGTCATTTTTTTTTTAGTCATCCTTTGAAGTATACCTGGTGGATTCTTGAGGCTCAGCCCCACTGTGCAAGGCACTCTGTTCTCTAGTCAGTCACCATCAACAACTCCTCATATCGTCTCCCATTTTGTAGCGTCCTCCTCCAAACATTTTCTCCCCATCTTTGCTGAAGGCAGCAGATGCTTCCTTCTGTTGCTATTGCCATAAGCCAGACTGTCCTTCTGCCTTTCCTCAAAAATCATTTTTTTTTTCCCTAACATAGAATAAACACCTCTCTATCAAAAAAACCTACTCATTCTTCCTTGCTACTATGCAATGCCCTAGTGTACAGTGGGACTGGCCCTGAAACAAAAAGATGATTGTGTACATACCACCTGTGGAAGGGAGACACTCAGTGTTTGGTTCCCACTGACTGAGGTCCAGCTTGAGGTTGATGACTTGTGCGGAGGGATGCAATGCCTAATAAACCCTAGCTACACACGTAATTCATTGTCTGCTGTTTTTCCACTTAAATTGCTTCAGAGATTACTTTTTGTACAAAGCTGATGAGAATCTGTTGATTGCTCAGTGCCCTAAACACCTGCCAATTCAGGATGACAAGGGTAGATGTGGGGATGAGAAGATGTCAGGGCTGATCAAGCAAAAGTGCTTTCCAGAGAGCAGTGGCTCTCATGATCTGGCACAAATTGTTGTGTGAAGAAACACTGTATTTTGTTAGCCTGTTCTCGGATTGCAAGTGAAATACATCAGCTCTCAGAGCTATACTACTGTAATTAAAGGACACCTAGAGCAAGCAGGAGAGCAAATAAACTTCTGCTGCTGAAAGAAGGGATTTACATGAAGTCTCTGTGTTCTTACTGGGCTGGGTGAAGGCATCGACAGCTGGAAGGTGTTTCATACCAGCTGCAGCTGGGCCTGGAGTTAGGCACCACATTGAGCCTGCCTGTGCTACAGCTCCAGTGTACACTGTAACTCCCTTCTGACATGTACATCCCAGATGTACATGCAAAGCAAATGGATGTGTGTGGAGGAATGACTTGCCCAGAGTGTGAACCTGGACCTCTGGTAGCCCTGAGACAGCCAACTCAAGTATGGTCCAAGGACACCCTCAAAAAACATTTCAGCTTAAATACATTTAGAAGACCAGGCTGGAGTGGATAACTGGGAGAAATATGGGAATATACATGAAAGCTGTGTTCTGCTGTAGCCTTACAAGCAGCTGAGAGACAGAGTGACTCTTGTACCACCTGTCTGTAAAAGTACAATGCACAAAACTATGGGCGACAACTCCTCTGTACCCTATAATTTCAGGCCCTGAGTTCAGATGTGGGCTGCCTGCCAATGTGCTTGGTAAAATGTGTGCATTATCAAAGGGTGTGAAAGAATGCAAGCAGCACATCCTGCACTGAAAAAGGAAAAACAGAGAGTGCTGGGGGAATGGCAAAAAAGCTAGTTCCCAAGACTTCCTGTGGGCTCTCCCTGCTGGTGCACATACCAGGTGACCCCTCCTTCCTTCACCCATTCTCGTACAAAATCCCCTGCAGCTGGATCAACTGCCTCAACCCACGAATGTCCAGTTCTGGTGCTCCGAACTTTGTGTGTAATTCCATCAACTCAATCATCATTGATTGCCTGTCTGGACTTTGGTGTCTTGTGAACATACGTACACAAAGGGGCAGTTTGTAGGCCAGCTTGTTGGGGCAGTTTCTAGTGGAGCGGACAAAACACCTCAACCTTGGATGCAGAAACCCTGACCTCCTGGCGGTCTGGGGTGGCTGGGGGTGCTCTAGCTGTTGCCCTTCCATGCTCCCCAGGGTCCTCCCAGAGACCTCGTGAGCTGATACCACCTCTGGGTATTTCACTCGATCATGGTCTCCCATGGCTCAGCACTTGGTAGCAGCTACAGCATCTTGACTAGTGCAAATTGGTTCCCAAGCCCTTTCATGGAGGAGAAGCAGTGGTGTCATTCCTCCTAACATAGTGCCATGGTTGAAGATCCCAAAGCTGGAAGGGAATACCCATTTCATATGTGGGTGGTTACTAGGCAAATGTGATTTGCCTTTTTAGTCCATTGCTCCATGTTCTGTCAGCAAGTGCTGTGGTGGAGGCTGTGCTGCATGAAAGAGCTTGTAGGAAGCTGAGTCATGGTCTGATCCCAGTGGTAGTTTTTTTCCTGCAGTCTGTTATACAGTGCTTCAGCATTTGTCTTGTAGTATGTTCTCTTCTCTCTCCTTTAAACACACACCCTCACACACCAGTAACAGCACTGAAGATGAGGTGACTATGCTCTGTATTCCTGCTCCTCATGTAGTATTGGTGGGGGTACAGATGTATGCACAAAGGCAAGAGTCAGCTCTGGGAGTGAGTTATGAGGAATGAGGAGTTCTTCCCTTTCCTTGGGAAGCAGCTGAAGCAATATGCTGAGGGCCATCTCCAGGGCAAGATGAGCAGGGTACCAGAACCATGTGGGTGCAACCGGCTGGGATCCAGATATGATGGTCAGAGGAGGGCAGTGAATACTTGGCTGCTCTCCCTGACTGTCACTGGGAACTTAGCAGTCTAGTTGTGTCCAGTTGCTTCTGTTTCTGCAGCTCTGAGCAGGAATGCTACTCCTTATGTCCGTCATGCGTTGCTGGAAAGCTTAGTAAAAGTTTCAAGTTGCCTTTCATGTCAGATCTCAAATGACTGAGGATTGTGATTTTTGCGATACAATTCTAAGTCTAGTAACTCTTTCATAAGGGAAGGGGACAGTGTGTATGTGATAGACTGCAAAAGGGAAGACACATTAGGAACTAAGGATCAGAAGAAGATTTAGTAAGATTGTGAGATAGCCCTGCCAGAAGTAGCTAATACCCATAAGCCAGGCTGTGACTGCTGATGTGAAGGGTTAGAAGGGAGCTTGTTTGCCCTTCCCCTCTCAAGTAACAGAATTTTCATGTGAGTCATAGTGTAGTCCATAGAATGAAATCCTAATGCTTATGCAAGTTCTTTACTTCAGGGATTTTTAGGGAATGTGTGCATACTAGTATGTTTATGTAAGTCAAGTGGAATTTCACTCACTGTAGAGAAATGAATTACGCTAATACGCAGTTTTGTGTTTTATAGAGCACAGCTTGCAGATGGTGAAAGAACAGTCGCTGTTAGAGACTATGAAACCATATATACAATTTCTGGAAGCAGCTCACCTTCAGATATTTTACCGATGCTATACCTCTCCTCTGAATCACCTCCAAAATATGAAGAAAAAGCATCAATAACAAATAATGAATATTCTCCATCTTCTTCATCTTCTTCATCTATTTCCTTAGCCACATCTGACATCAGCTCATAGAGGACTGTCAGACTTCATTTTTAAATTAAATTGTACACTCAGATTTACAATTTTTGAATTTATTTACATTTTGTAATAAAAGCAATAATGTTGGCTGTGTCTAATTTTTCATCAAAAAGCATAAATGATGAATTTGGGTCTCAAGAAAGATTAGATAATGCTGGGCTTCTGAGCAAGTAGTCTGAAGAGATTCAGTTCACTGCAAGAATGTTAAATGCTCATCTTGTTCTGTTACAGCTTCAGTTTCTATTTTTAGTTGTTCTTTACATAATGGAGGCACCAAGTAGAGACCAACTTTTTTTGCTTATTTTAATTAAATCTGTTTGGAGCTTCAAAAAAGAAATAATTAGGAAGTGTTTTTATTTCTGTTTTTGTATGACTTTTGTGGACAATACTTGTTTGCAAAGTTACTGACTTTGTATGTACTCTGAGAGCATCACAAATAGGGTGTTTAAGACTGGGACCAAATATGTTACAGAGAACTCAAATGGTTACTTTTTGGTCTGCCTGGTAACAAACACTCCATAGCTTAATTTAGACCCCCTCTGGTCCTTATGTAAGTATAATCCCTGTGAAAGTCAGTTTTAGCCAGCAGTTAAGAGCCCTAAAGCAACACAGGATAGTTAATAGGCTAACAGTTTAACTGTGGTAATGACTGATTTCAGGGGGATTACACTACTGTTACATATCCTCATTCACGGTTTATACAAGGAGTGCTTACTTTGTGAGAGTGAGCGCCACTCAGCAGTGGTATCTTCCAGGTGCAGATGTTACTTACCAGCAAATGCAAGAGAGGCAGTTTCATGGAAATGCATGCAATGGATGTTTTTAACTGACACAGCACTTGACAGACCCTTCAGAAATACAGCCCTTTTAGCTCCTCTGGCCCTGCGCAGCCCCTAAGTTAGCGGTAGCTGCCTGCCTTCCGGATGGAGTGACAACAGGTTCTAGTTCTCTTTTGCGGATGTTTGCACCCGTTCCCAAACTGAAGGATTTGCTTGTAGTAGGTAAGGGTAATTAGCAGGAACTGAGTTGCTGCTAACCTTTGACACTTTACGACATGCTCTGAACCCTGTTTGAGAAAAACAGACCTGATTCTGTGCCCAGAGACAGAAGGTGGCAGAGCTACTGTTTGGGCTTGGTTCAGCATGGTGAACTTACCAGCATTAAAACATCTTGCAAGACGGGTCTCTGTCTTGTTCAGCTGAGTCTCTCAACACCTGCACGCTCTGGGACCTCAGCTACACCTCAACTTGTCTTCTGCTACGCTGAATTTCAGGGAACCTGGCTGTAACGGAATGCCAGTCTTTGAATTAAGCACTCAAGTTCTCTCCTGTGCCTAGGGAAAGGTGATTGCCTCATGTCATCTTTCTATGAACATGCCTCTCACCTGCAGAGTTCTTTAGAGAGACGTTGAGGAGCTCTTGCATTTGGGCATTTATTTCCACCTCTGTGTTGTTCCCTCAGTGGTGCTAGGGTGGCTCTGTGCAGCCACACAAAAACAAACCAGCCAGTGAGGGAGGTATATTTAGCCAGCAATAGAGCTGGGGGCTTATGCATGCAGAGTAATGAGCAAATACAGCACAGAGAGGGATTTAGTATGTGGGAGCTGATTAAACTGGCATGACTTAGCCATGGGAAATGTCTATATGAAGAAAGGGGATCCACAAAAAACAGCAGGCATTTTGTCCTCTTTTCTCTCAATTGTTTTTTACCTAGTGAGGTTTTCAAGGATGCTGTTCCTTGAATGCCTTCTGTAATCCAAGCTATGGTTTACCATCTTTTGGGGTTTTTTTTTTAAAGCTTTTGTTTCTAACCTGGTTTTTAGCATTGGTGCCCACTGCCCTGCATGATTCATGCACACAAAGCCTGGCACATGTTGAAGGAGCTTGTCTCTCTCTCTCGATTTGTCATAATATTTTATAGCAAGTACAGAAGCTGGGGTATTTTACCTAAAAGATCCCATGCAAGCAAAGACCCATGTTGGCTTTATGCTGTTGGTTGTATTACAAATGAACACTCATTTGCTGAAAAGGTTAAACATCAAAAAGCATTTACTCTAAACAAATAAATCTTGAAATATGTCAGCATCATTAAAAAAAAAATACAGTGGTTGCGAACTGTAAAGGTGTTAACCTTTCGTGTTGCCTGCAATTTGCCCAATCAGCTGTTCCCAAGATGTACCCAAGAGACCAGACAAATCAAGTAGAATATGTTGACTCTGAGCTGACTCCTCTGGAACTGAAACATGATCTTCTTTTTCTTCAAGGTTATTGTGTTTTGATCTTCTACTGCAGAGTCTCCAGTGTGGATCACTTTATTTCTAAAAAAGCAGTCTTCACGGAAAGCATGCTTTAGAAAGCTGCTGACCTGACTGCGGAGTCAGCACCTGAATTTCCTGGGAAGGGTAGATGTTACTTACCTCTGAAAACAAGGATTGAAAACAGAATTTCTCTATCATTTTGAGAAGATGCTTAGGAAATAGTTCGATGTACAGCTGTATCAGCATCTTCTATTTTTGGCTTGGAGAATCATTCCTTGAAAACTCAGTGGATGTGCTGGATGCATCTCCATAACCTGCTCAGCACTGAGAGAGCTAACATAGCCAGGGCAACAGTATTTGCTTACTGCATTGTCGCAATCTGTTTCGGCAAAGTCAGAAAACATGAGTAAGAGGCTAGCAGATCTGCCTCTGCCACTGAAGGCTACCACTGGGTGAACAGCGTTAGCAGAAGGAATTTTTGATGTGGGGAGTAGGGGTGAAATGTCTGTATTAGAAAGGAAGCAACACCTTGTAAAACTATAAAAGTATCTTAAAATAATACGGAATAGCATTTTTATTGAGGAAGTGAGATACTTTACTGTCACACTAATGGTGCTATAATCCCCTTTTCTGCCCTAAGGTTAGCTTAAGTGCTTGACATACAAATGCTAGGGAGCAAATCAAGTTGGTTACTGATTCACACTTACTTAAACAGGCAAAGTGGGAGGTAAGGATTGCTTATCCTCTGTGAGCGAAGTTAAGGTCTCTCTTCCTTGCTGCCTGCACTGACATTGCTCTGCTTCTAACTGCAACACTACAATCCTTTGGATATGAGAAGGATTCACGAAAATATAAATGGATGCCTCTTCTCCAGGAGAAGTTTTTCTTCCTGCACCAGCAGCAGCTAAAAAAAATGGAATGCTAACTCATCTGAAAAACTGAGATTGCACAGATCTCTGCAATGATGCTATGTTTTGAGGATAGCAGCATTCGCTGGATTGCACCCACACCATCCTTGCCCTTTGTGGTTGGTAGCGCTGAATCCATTTATCCCTTTTCCATCCTACCTCTTCAGAGTCATGGCTCGTGGGGCATTTCTGTGTCCAGGCAGACATTTCTGCCAATACCTCCACGTTTCTGCGGCGAACGTGTCAGCCTTCATCTAGATCTGTGCTCCTCCCTCTATCACACATGCATGTATCTGGATAAAGTCTCTCTTAGTCAAGTCGTTGACTCCTTAATCTCCCTACATTTGAATGTTTTGTTATGGAGTCCTACTTTGTACCTACTCTTTTTAAAGCCAATCAGTGTGCAATACTATGGTATAATTTTCTTTTATACGACATCTTTTGCATGTTCTATGACTAAATCCCTGACTATATTACAAGCATGTAAGAAAATAAAACCTCACTACAACAGGCTGATAATGTGAACAACTGTGTAAAAATTAATAGCGGAGGGAGAGGAGAAAAAGATTACTTGAAGGCCTGTCAGTGTTTACTAGGCTGACTCTTGAAACAGGTTGGAGAACTGAGGAGGTACAGAGCACTACAGAAAACCTGCTTCCAGCAGCAAGTGCTGCAGGTGAAGTCTGCGTTGGTGACAGAAAATTATGTAGAGGAACAGAAAGCAAAGCAGTGCTTGTGTCCAGGGGTAAGGTCCCTGAAGCAGATGGGAACAAAACTGTGGTGAGATCTGAAAACAGCACCCATTCTGAAAACCTCACACTGACCAATTCCTTAGGTTTCACAAAACTGTTTTCATTTATTTGGGAGTTATTCCAGGTAAAAGGGGATGCATTTAATAAATCAGCATCTTTAAGTGAGTTCCCAGAACATACACTTACTTGGCAAAGGGAAGTACTGGGCTTAAAAAATCAACGTGATCCTGTAATCTCTTAAGACCTTGACAGCTGCCTGAATGCAGCATTGCCACTGTCTGGGGAAATAATGGGAGAAACGTGGGGAGGCTTAGACGAAATTACATCTTACAAAGAGGGGGCAGTATACAGGGAAAGGTGTATTTTTAATTTAGATCCTACTGCACCAAACAGAAAGTGTTTTCCGCCTCATTTTCAAAGTTCAAGTGACAAGTAGCCTTAGAAGAAACCACCTGTATTCTCCAGCTCTGCTGTGTACTTGCTCAACAACCATGAAGTCATGTCCTAGGCCAGAGGCAAAGAACGTCAGCCGTAGGATGGTGCAACACCCAACTTGGAAAACTCTGACTCCAGCCAGCATCTAAGGACCATTGTGTAGGACTGAGGAAGTGCTCCAGCACAACCCTGTTGCAAATAGCGGCTGCAGAGTTCTTGAATGAATGAGAGGAGGAAGATGACACTACATCTGTATATACCATTAGTTAGACAGCTATTATGATATAATGCTGCTTGTAAAAGGATGTTGGACAGCCTGGAAGATTCAGCAAACAGTGACAAGAATGATTCATGGTATGGAAAAACCTGACTTGCAGAGAGCAGTAACAGAAGTTCATTCCATTAAGTTTGCCAAATATAAGGTTAAACGTGACTTAGGTTTTGGCTATAATTACCAATACAAGGACAGCTTATCTAGTATTTCAGCACTTTCTAATTTAGTTGTCATCATACAAAACCACTGCATTGCAAGCCCTAACACTTTGCTCAAGTGGTGCAGAGAGTCCTGACTAGTCTTGGTGCTGGGGGAAGGGCTGATCTTGAGTGTATTTTTCAGAAAATTTGTTGGCACCCTCAGTAATAGAAGAGACATAATACTGACTTTGGAAACTTCCAGACATTTTTAAAGGAGTCCAGCACTAATATTCCTCAAGGTCTATCTGCTAACAAATGAGAAAGACACATCTGCAACTGCATTCACCATCAGTTCTGAAGGTGCCAAATTCAGTGAGCAGGCCCTTTCAGAAGAGAGCTGTTGTCACACTGTGTGATATGAATGCACAGTAGACTAAAGGCACCTTTACTGATTTTGAAGAAGCAGTCTGAAAGGTGAGTTTTCTAGTTCTAGAGCTATTTTTGTCTTATAAATCTCAGGATAAGCTTGCTTCCCCAGAGCTGCTGGTAGCAGGAAATAGCATTATACTTTCTACCACCTGAGGAGTAATCTCTGTCCTGTGTGTTCTCCCCTGCCATGCTAGTCAAAACAGATCGAGTAGTTGGAGGTTTTTCCTCCTTAAGGAATTATACAAAGACGTTCTACCAGAACTCTCCAACAGCAATTACTTTAGTTTGCAACTGTTAGGAAACAGAAAATCTCAACATTCAATTAATCTGTCTGTTTAACATATGGGACACACATTCAACAGAACAATTCATTGTGATGTAAAAAAAAATTTCTAGGTACTTCTGAGTACAGGATAAGATCCCTCGCTTTACCAGGTTTAACATTACAGGAGATGCTTTCTCATTCCTGCAGTGGTGCGCTATTCAGGGTATGTGGGCTTTATTCAGTATAAACTTTGAGGAAGGGGTGGAGATCACGCAACAAAAAATGTCCACAATTAAGGGGAAATTACAGAGCAATTATGCTACCTTCAAACAGCTGGAAAGCTTTGGCTGGCTTGAAATAGCTTTTCTCCCACAACCAGCAGCTCTCCCAGGCTGTTCAGCACTCACCACCCTGTTGCCGCTTCCCCTCCCACCCACCCACTGCTCCCCCTTGGCAAAATATCAGAAAGCCTACTTTGATATTTTTTAAACCACGGAAGCTGTGGACTGCAGAATGAGCTGCAACAGAGGTCCAGGCGTGGCTATAAATGTCACACTTCAGAGCACTGCAAAGCACTCCCAGTAATGGCCACACATTTTCCTGCAGATCTGGGTTGCTGGAGTGGTGGCCCAAGGAGAGCGAGAGCCACCCCACTGCTGTTGACTAAACGTATGCTGTCCATATGTTGGATGCATCAGCTGGCAGGGGGCCTAGGAAAAGCTGCGGTGGCTGCAGCTTCCTTTCTCTCCCATCTGGCATGGGCACAATGAGGAAGTATCAGTGGGTGCCAAATTAAAGAAGAGGGTAAACAAAGAGATAAGCAGTCATGCAAGGGTGAAGCCATTTCGGAAGCAATGGTGGTAATTCAAGAAGTCTTTAGTGATCGCTTCAGGCTTCACTTCCCAGACCTTTATTCTTCTAAGCAAAGTTTATTCCTTCACATGATGGACTCTGTTAACCATACACGCACAAAGTTCTTGTATAACTAACCTGAACCTTCAACTCAGCTCTGCTGAGTCCTTTACAAGCCCCCTTTCTCTTCAGGCAGAAGATACGTTACACTCAATAATGGAGCAGAACAACACCAATGTAGAAGATTTCTCCTTGAATGTCTTTTCTGTCACTCCTTATCAGCCAAACAGATCCGATGTCCTGGTGTCAGATGGGGATAAAGCCGGCGCCACTTTGCTCTTTTCAGGTGTGTTTTTGGGACTGGTGGGGATCACTTTCACCGTGATGGGATGGATAAAATATGACGGCGTTACTCACCTGGAGTGGACTCAGTTGCTAGGGCCTATTCTGCTCTCTGTGGGGGTGACTTTTATTCTGATTGCTGTTTGTAAATTTAACATGCTTACATGCAAGCCCTGTAAAGAAAGAGAGGAAAATACGTCAGACCTCGACCAGACTGCAAGCGGACAGTCCTTCGTCTTCACTGGCATTAACCAGCCTATAACTTTTCACGGCGCCACAGTGGTACAGTACATCCCTCCGCCGTACTCAGCCCAGGAAGGCATTGCTGTGAGTCCTGGCTACCTTCACCCGGTGCTCAGCTGCTGCGGTGCTGTTTCCTCCAGCACCTCACCGATTCCCACCCCAGGCTCTGCTCACTTCTGCCCTGCCTACCCCCTGGATAACCCGGCTTTTACTGGAGATGAGAACTACACTGCTTATCCTGCGGTGAATACCAGGAATCAGAGGTACATCTTCTGAAATGCCTTAGTGTGTTTGGGCACAGGCTTCTGAGTATTTTACGTGCTATGTATGGTTTCAAAGGAAACAAAAGCTAGTCCAGGGTGTTATTCTTTTTCACACTTTTTTTTTTTCTTTGTTAGGAGTATTTCTTGAGTAAAGACTATGGAGACATACTTTTTCTGGAAAGCATTGTATCTGAATTAAATTCACTATGAATCCCTTTCAATTTTCAGTCTACTAAATCTCTTGCTATTTTTTAAGATACTAGTATATATGCTCCTGCCCGTGGTTTTTTTTTTGTGCTTATCTTACTACCTTTAGACTGTTGACCAGAAGGTTATTATGTGTACAGCCAGAGGCTTCCACTCAAACACAATCACAACACACGAGTCAGTGCACAAACAGCATTTTTATAACAATGCAAGAATCTCTTTGGTACCAGATGCTCTCCCTCCTGATTATGCCTGGTCACAACACGCCTTTCTCCCACTGTAGCAATCTTCCAGCCCTTACTCTTTTCCTAGTTTTGGGGCATAAACAAGATCACTGATATTACAGAGCAGTATGAAACTGCTTTAATCAGACAAAAAATAATTTTATATAGTTCTTTCCTCTAAGGAAAAATATTCTAATTATAGGAATTACTCAGAATTATATCCTCCCTAGAACACAAGTCACTTTTAGTTCATTTATCAAAGTCTGTTTGAAAAACTGCTGACTGATCCATCGTCCTCAGCAACATGTGTGACAGGCATAGGCAGCATGAAAACAAAGGTCATCTCCTGACACTTTTATGCTTCATGAAAAGAACACAGCAGACGGTTGAATCACAGTAAAACTTCATCTCATAGCATTTTCTCAAGAAGTCAGAAAGTGCTTTGAGCAGATAAGGCTGCCAGGATGCAGCACTGAAGTCACTTGCATGCTTTCTGTTTGCTAAATTCTTTTTGCACCTGCTCCTCTTCCTATTTTCAGGTCAGAGGACAGTTCTGATGTGCCAGAAGAACTGCTGGAAGATTACGCCTGTGATGACTTGTCACCTCCACGTTATGAGGAAATATACCCACTGTCTTCATAAAATAACCATGGACGACAGACAACAATTCTAAGAGACACCAGCTTTTTAATCCCCAAGAATCTTTTCTGTAAACACTTGCATGATAAACAAGTGTGAGCAAGATCTTGGTACTGATACACAGTTCAGTATCACTGAAGATATTTAACCAATCCCTTATTTTTCTCCCTCAGAATTCATTAGCCCTTTGCTATGCAGTTTAATAGCAGAGCTATTAATTATTTAATAGCAGAACTATTAATAGCAAAGCTATTAAACTCAAAGATCTAAATCCATATTGGGGTTCCCCACAAGAAGCCTTTTTTTCAGACTTGCTGAAACCAGTGTGAACTGTGAATGCACGAGATGTTTGTGGAAGGTCATGATTGCTCCTGGACATTCAGCATCATTAGAAAACACTTGATTTATTCTTGATATATTTTCCCTCTTGATTGCTTGGGAAACTTCAGAAGTGCTCAAATGTCTGATCCATGAAAGTGCCTATAATGTCTTAATTCTGTCTGATTCCTTAGACTAGCTCACTCATTAATAAGTCCATTCTACAGATTAGACTTCCTCTGCTTGGTTCACCTGTACAACCCAGTCCTGCAAGCGTTTTTGGAGCACCCTGCTTGAACCAGAGCATCCCGGAACAGAGAAAATACAAATAGTGACCTCTGCCCATTTTTACATAGACCTCTAAGAGATCCTGCATGCATCAAATTCAGTTCCCTTTCCCACCTGATGGCATGCAAAGCACTGTCTCCCACCAGGAGTCCTAACAACTACTAGGTTAATGTCCCTAGGAAAATGGCACTTTTCTGAAGCCTTGACGGAGGTGTGTGGTCCTACCAGTTTTAAAGGCTTTAACAATCACAGCTTCTCCCTGCTGCACCCTCACTCTATGGGAGAGCTGTAGTGGAACCCCTCCTGAGGTCCCTTCTTGTTTGAATGTGGGTCCTAGGCACACAACTCAGGCTGTAGGTTCCCACAGAGCATCCAGGCACCTAGGGGCTGCAGTGAACTTTCTTGTTCAAGTTCAACTTTCAAGACCAACATGGTTCCAGGCATTTTATCCACAAATGGATTTACAGCCATATCTAACAGAGGCTGAGGTGCATAAGCTCCGAACTCTTGCAATCCAGAATGGAGGTCCCAAAAAGCTTTGCTCAGGAGCTGTCTAAACCCCAGAGCAATGAGAATGCCATGAGTCCTTTTTATTTTCTATTTCCACATATGCTTCAAGTTCTGCTTTTGAGTGTGCCTAGAAGTGCTCCGACACAGCTGGACAAGTCAGTATCTCCTCATGCAGGATCCCATCAGTTTTGCCTATCTCCCTCAAAGGGCTTAAACCAAAAGCTGTTCTCAGCCCACACCTGCTGGAGCAGGCACCACGCAAAATGATCTAGAGGGCAATGGTCACTGTCCAAAGTAACCGAGCAGTGTGCTGCTGGTTTGCCTGCGGGTCAGTTTGGTGTCCGTTATGGAATGGTGTCTGTTATGGAATGCATGAACTTTCTCTTACTTGCCAACACAACTGTCTCAGCTCCTGCCAGTTGTCATCGATCTGTGATTGATCTCATTGGTCTCATTCCTGAGGGCTGGAGAAGCCTGGTGCTGAGCACGGGCAGGCGGTATGGGATGTACCTGGCAGCTGGAAGTCACTGAGTGTCCGTGCAGCCTCGCTAGCAATCAAGAGATATAGCTCTGGACGGAGAAGTGCATTCAGAACACTGTCTAGTTGCATGGAGCTGCAGGTTCGCACCAACCTCCCTGTCCTGTATACTTAGAGGGTGCCAAGAAATAAAGCATTTTTGGAGGGGCACAAGACAACCACTGTGCTCCACAGTGACAGACATGACAGTGACAGAGGTCATATTTGGGACACAACATTTAAACTGACTTAAAGCTGGACTAGCAACTGCAGCAGCAGCTACTAGACAGTGACTACAAACTGTATGTGAGGTTTTTCTCACTAGAGAAATACAGGGCACGCTGATTTTCAGCAGCAAAAATCAGCTGGTGTTAGCTGGTAGGCATGTGTAGTTGGAGAAAGGCAGGCACCCTGTGTTCAGCATCATCTCTGTGGGACTGAGTGGGACAACAGAAGGTCTAAAAATAAATGCAAGTTTCTCTTATGGAAATCTCTTGCTCCTCTTCCAGAATTTACACGGAGGTGAACGCATCTTCCTTCCACAGCAGGAAACTGGAAGGTCCCAAATCCCTAGTTAGTTAGTTCCACATGGACAGATCCCTGCACTTAGCATGTAGTTCTGCTGACTCCAGAAAGCACTGCAGGAGCACAGAGGTCAGGCTTGATGGATCCAATTGCAGGACCAGGGTCAAAATTTCTACCCATTCACCCTCCCTCACAACAAGAAAATTCCTTCAGTCAGAAACCACAGACTTTTGCTGCTGCTCTTTTTTCCTCCCCCCCAAATACATGGCATAAGCATGTTTCATGGGGTAATCACAGCTTTATTTTTATGACATCAAATCGTACTGTCAGAGTAAATATGAGAAATCCAGAAGGTTGCACTGTGGACTCCATATTGATTTTAAAGTTCACTTTTGTAGACACTAAGTTCATTGAAAGAGCCATGGGTTTCTTTTTAGAGAGAAGGCTGAATAAATAAATTTAAATAACTACATATTAAAATGATCTTGACCCATCAGATGAATTCTGCCTGAATTCTATAGGAGTCTTTTCATGTTGCACAGATATTTGAGAAGCTCCAGTCTGATGACATTTCCTTGCTGTACTGATTGCTGATTATTGTTTTTAAGAATAGAGCAATATTCTGTGAAGGCTCTTCTTTCTCCTCTTCCTTCCACTGTCTACTTTCATCCTTTTTTCTATTTTAAGAATTTTTTTATCTTTAGGGTTTTTTTGCTTTTGTTATTGTATCCTCAGTGATATAACGGTCACACAAATTCACCTCTCAGCATTATGATCTCTTTCTGCCCTATGACGAGTGAAAGAACAAACCTATTTGGCCAGACCTTCAACCAAGGTGAACTGACACAGCTCTGCTATACTGATTTAACTCCCCCGAGCACCTGGAAGATTGTATTTGAGATTTTGCTCAATCCACTTTTCATTTAAACTAGTGCTCTTTAAGCAAAATTACCTTCTCCGACATTGCCTGCAATGCTACTGCAGACCTGCAGAATGATGCTTTATTACAGTCAGATGCGTCTCAAATTCTATCTGTAGTGACAGAATGTTGTATGTGAGTGTTCAACTGTGTAACACTGAATGGGTTATTGGGATTTTTCCTAATATGGCTCCATTTATAAGATTTTGACCATGAGATGGTTAACATATTAAATCGGTAGAGACGTGTCTATTGATATGAAGCTGAGCACGATCTATTCATCACAGTAAAAATTCTGGACAGAGCTGCTCTAAGATTGAGGACCTATTTCAAAACACTAAATGACACATGCCAAATGCAGCTGCAGGGTGCAAATTTCTTCTCAGATAAAACCTAAATCTGAAGTCTGCTTTTTAACATCAGTGCTGCTGTATCTGTGAGGAAGTAAAGGAATATACGAGTCAAGGTTTGCTTTGCTTTGGTCTTGTAGCACTTTCTCACAAGAGCCTCGTTTCACCAGAGGTACCTGTTTCTGCCACTGATGCTCCTGTGCAAGTGCCTGCATACACATACCCAAGCAGAAAGCCCGTACAAGCGGGTGTTCAAAAGTAGTAGTGCTGAAATCCTTCACAGAGTTATTTTTAAACTGAATCGGGATTTAGGAAATTGGGGTCTCGGAAAAAAAAATAAACCTGTAAGTAGGGCTCGTTCCTTTCCAGAGAGCCCTAGTTACGCACACGGCTGGCCTTCGGCGCGGGGTCCCCGCGGGATGCTCGGAGCTGCTGCGCCGCGCCCTCAATTCCGCGCGGAGCCCGAGCCCCCGCTCCCACGGGGCGGCGCCGCTCTCC